AAAAAAAAAAAAAAAAAAAAAAAAAAAAAAGAAAAAAATTCTTAAAGATAAATAAATAAACTAGAGCTTCTTTTATAAATACACAAAAAAAAAGTTTGTTTAAAGAAATTTCAAAAACTAATACTTAAAAATAAAGAATTTACTAAAGAATTTATATTTCAAAAAAAATGAAATATAATGATAATATTTTTAAAAAACAGTAAAAATAGTTAATAAATATAATTAAATACAACTATTTTTTTAATATTTTTTCTGAGCGTGTATTTCAAAGCATCATTTAAAGTTTCAAATAACTTTAGAAATAATATAGATAGAATTTAAGAAGGTTGATTAGTAGTATTTTACTTATTTTTGTTTCACAATATAGGAAATATTTATGTTTTTCTTAGATAAAGTAATGTAATTACTATTTCACTATCAAGATCAATTCATATTCTCAGACAAAGTGAATAACCTTTCATTCTACAATGTTATATTAGTACATGTGTTGCAATTTTGCATTTATGTAAAATTACAAAGGAATAAGATAGGAATTTGAAGAATATGAGATTGAGTTGTTCAAATAGGTATGCTACAAAATCTCAAAATCTAAAATCTTAAAAAGCCAAAATTTTGAAACTCTAAATCCTAGGTCTCAAAATTCAAAATCCTGAATAGTTATGAGAATTACTTTGAATTAGTAATATATGTATATTATGAGTAAGATTCAGATTATCTAAAAATAATCCTACTGAAAAATTTTTTCATTTATTTGTATAAGCAAAACTCTCTCTGATTGAAAATTATTTTCATTTATTGTATAAGTAAATATTAAATTATTAATAAGATGAATTGTAATGACTTTGTAAGAAAAATATTTTTAATAAAATTATGTGTTATGCATATTAATAATTTTGGTAATGTTATGCTGTAATATATGCCTTAATCAGAAAGCTAGCTTAGTTATACATGGAAAATTTTTAAAGGAAAATTCAGGATTTATTACCATTCAAGATTTTGGATTTTGAGATTTTGTACCATTTAGGATTTTGGATTTCAAGATTTTGACCTTTCGAGATTTTGGATTTTGAGATTTGAACAGCACCTATTCAAATAAACAAATAAGCTCGTAATGGGATTAATTCTGTGAGTAAAATTGAATAGGTGTTTCAATGAATTAAGTTGTGTCAGAATAGTGATAACATTTTAGAGGAGTATATATCAAAATTATACAAATTAAGAAAAAATAAATCAATTGATTTTTGTTATAAAAAATGCATTACAACGTAATGTACTTTTAAATCTAAAGCATGACGTTTAAAAACCTTAAAATCTTCTATTTTACATCCGTCATCAATAGGGTTAATATTCATAAGAAAGTATTAGCATCATTGTGCTTTGGTTAAAGATTTTTCGTTGGCTGCATATTTTTAATAATGATAAAAGAAATACACTAACTTTATTTGTATGTTGGAATTTTATTGGTTAAAATTATTTCACGTGATAATGTGATACTTTTTTTTAATATAAAAATTCGGGGTATTTAACTGAAGAGACTATATATGGGATAATGACTTAATTTTTCAAAATTCTTAATTGTGATGTAGAAAAGTTTTAAATAAGTACGAAAATCATTAATAGCGAATGAAGTAATTATAGTATATACGAATTATAAACGAAAAAAAAATATGTCCGAATGTGTGCGGTTCTCAAATTATTGAAAGAATTAAACGTTAAATATTTCAATTGCAAATATACGAAAACAAAAAGTCAAAATAGATGAATAAGTTTGGGTTTGTTTGTGTTCCATAATTGTAAATGTAATAATACTAATAACGAAAAAGTGAAATTTTTCAACGGAAAAAAAATGTCAGGGATTGTTTTACGAGTTTCCGAATAGAAGTAAACGCCTACAGTATATATAAATCTTTCAATTGCAAATGAATAAAAAAGAATAATGTCAAAATTGGTGAATAACGTTTGTGTATAAGAAAGAGTTGTGTTTCGGGCGTGTAAAGAAAAAAAATTTCAATCCGAAAAATTGCACTTTGTTAGTCCGGAGCGAGGGCTGCACGTGACAGTTAAGATACGTAGGTAACAAATAACGAGCGAGTGACAAATTTGTCAAAAAAACTACCTTCCGCTCATAATATGAGTCGATACCCTTTCGTTTACACTTGTGCTCCTAACAAATTTTTGAAACGTGCGGAAATTCATCAATCGTGTGCACGCGTACCAAATCTAACTGGTTTCCCGAATCGTTAGTTCCCTGAAAAGAGTCCTAATTAAACTTACATTTATTTAGGGTTATCTATAACGAACCTTTCTATTACCAAGTATATAAATTAATTTTATCATTCTGAACTTGTAAATTGGGTGGATTTTTTTTATTTTTTTTAAAGGGAAGCTTAAAGGTTCGCATATTTCAAATATGTAAATAACATTATCGAGCGTCAATAAAGTCATTTTTGTAACAAAGTTTGACAAAGTTGGTTAAGAAAAATTTTTTCTTACTCTTTTTGATGATGATAAATAAAAAAAAAAAGAGAGAATATGAAAAAAAGGAAGAGTGTTAAAATAATCTAACGAACAATGAAAAAGAAAAGTTTGTTATTAATAATGAGACCTTTTTATAAGAAATCGAATTTTTTTTTGTTTGCTTAACAATACAATATACAGTCGACCCGGGACCAAAAAAAATGATGTAAGTTTATTAGTAACTTGGGGCCAAGTAATTGTGTGACTGTATTCTATAATTTCCGATTGGTCAACGATAATTTTGGAAAAAACAAAAAGTAATTTTTTTTTCCTCGTCAGATCTTAATATGCAACGACACAGGGATGCAGGGACGATGATTTTTTGTGGTGATATAAAGTAAACTTTGTGTGTGATAAAAGTAAATTCTGTGAAATTTTGTGATTTGGCCGGAATTAAGCAAGGTTGGCCAACTTTACGACTCATAAATTCTGCCCAAATTTAGTGTTTACCGGAATTACAATGATTGCAAATCCTAAATTAGGCCAAAAACTTGAACCAAATTTTATGACTTTCTGTGAAATTCTGTGATCACAATAAATCATTGTCCCAGCCTCGACATAGCACGACATAAATGTTTTTTGGGGGAAAATAAATAAGATCATTTCTGCTTTTGTTATTTATTTTTCTTTCTTTGAAGAAAAATTATTATTTGGCGTAAAACTTCCTTTTTTCTTTGATTTTTTAAAATAAATCATTTTTGTTTGACCTTTTTGGAATTAATAGAGTTTTTATTAAATATAATGATTTTATCTGAATTATAACGAACATGTTATGTATGACAATATATCAGTCATGTCTAGAATTACTACATGTAAAATGAACTTATATAAAATCTTTTCTTTTAATGAAAAAATGTTAGTAAAAAAAATTTATGGGAGAAATATCCAGTGTTAACTCGAATAATGAATAAATAATATTATGATTTAATGATCTTTTTGTTTGCGTGTGAATTTCCATAAGAACATGAACATTTTGAATAATGTAATTTTAGCATTTCCAATCAATTATGTATATGTATACTATTTAATTGTTAAACCATTAATTTTCTTGATGGGGCAGGCATAAGGTTCGATCATTTAATATACAAGAAAGGAAATGAGGCTTTAATTGATAAAAAAAAAAAAAAAAAAAAAAAAGAAGATTCTCACAATCTAAATGGAGGATCTAACCATGAAAAATCAGTAATCGGTTTTGGTCATCCATCTCTAGCCAATAATAAATTTTCCGACAAAAACGTGATTTTTATCCAAGAATACTTGTTACAGAATAACGTTGGGTCATCATTTTTTTTTTTTTAATATAAGTTGATACCGCGCCACTGGTTCTAATTGTAGAATAAAGAAAACTATAAAGCGAACTTTGTTTACAAAGAGATATTGATTGAAGGATCATATTTATCATATATAATAACTAAAAAGTAGAGTTTTGAAAGGAATCTGCAAAAAAATTTTTTCTTATATAGCAAGGCTCCTTATCACAGAATGAAACCGAAATTCCCCTTGTTTTGTCGATAAAATGTTCAAAGACTTGTAACACACTATGTTTAATTTCTTTTTTTACAATATATTTTACATGAATGTCCGTGAAGGTTCAAAAAATCAAAGAATGTTGAAAAGTAGGAGTCCAAACCAAAAGGCAAAAAAAATAAAGTAATTGAATTTTGACGGTTGCTATTGTTACACTGAATATAATTTCGCCCGAAAACTCCACAATTCCGCATGTTAATTATTTTTTTTTATAAATACGAGCCGGAAATCCTTAAACAGCACGCTCGCCCTTATTATATTTTGCATACATACACCTCGAAAACTTTCCTTTAACCCCTTCGCGATATTTTCGCTTTCGCCGGTTTAGCATTTAAAATTTCTTATTTGTAACCTCTTTTTATTTTTAATTTCCGATTTTCTTATATTTTATTTATTCATTTTTTGTAATTGTTCGTAATTGCGCAGTTTTAATTAATCAGAGTTTATTGGTTGGCATTACTTAGTTTAATATATTGACATTGCGAAAGTGTAGTGCGCCGATGTTGAGGCAACACTTCATTTTTACTCAATAAAAACCTTTTGCTTACTTACAAAGTTGTTTATAAATACATAAACGAAAGAACTGAATACATCACTATTCTAGCCTGAAATACGAAAAAGCATACTTTTTGAGTAAATAATCGAACAAATTGAATATCATAGCAGAATTTTAGCAGCATTCGTTTTTAATTTAAAAATAATTTTTATTTACGCAATTAAATTTCATAATATAGAGATAATAAACTTTATATTTTATTGCTTTTATTTGCCTTATTTACTATATTTTCTAATTAATTAATAAAAACAATTTTTTAATCGGTGTTCAAAAAAAAAATTGTTGATTGGGATTACGCCACTCGGATACGTATATTTTTTTATCAACTGAAGTGCTTGAGAACGCCTTTAAATATTTTAGCTTATGTTCAATTCCTTGTTTATAAAGGTCGAAGGTTGAATTAATTGTATTTAACGTGAAATTTGATATTAGCGGAAGTGATGTATGAAGCGGGTGATCGACATCCTGTGGAAAGGATATCAACGAAGCATATCGATGCTATCTCCGATCCATGCTCATAAGCTTCAATTATTTATTGATAAACTTTTGGTGAAAATATGAGGGATTTCCTTCTTAATTCAAAGTTTATATCTTCAACAAATATATCTTTTTAACAATCTGTCTTACAATTTGCTCGTGAAATACGCACTTTGATTTTGATATCGCCGTAAATATCCAACTTATTTCGAAAATTTGTAAGGCGTCTGCTATGGATTTATTATCATCGAGCTTAAACCCAAGTTCGATAAGCTTGGTAAGGCGGAATTTTACATCGTCGGCAATTGGCCAAAGCCATCCAGATGTGGGAATGGAGTAGTAATGCTCCCGATATGACAAGATTATTGGTATCACTCTTCAATTAAGTTACGACATTGCCCCTCACAACAATTTGATGGTTCCGGAAGAATATCCACCAAAGGGGAAATGGGACGAAATTATTCTTTAAGATCAAATTTTTTATGGTGTCGTAATTATTTTTCAACTCTTGGGATGTACCCGCTGAGATAAAATGGAATAATTCCATGTCGTTCCCCTTAATAGGTAATATTTTGGAAAATCTAGCTTCTCCTTCTTGTAAGATGATGCTAAACACGCTCAAGGGCAAACCGCTTGCCCATGGATTCCTTATTTTTTTTTTTTGATCCAAGCGTACTTTGTTTGTTTCGGATGGTATTACGTTGTATTTGAGTTTCATTTCGGTCAATGCTGGATCTTGTCTTCCGTAATGCGTTGATCCTCTTTGAACCAAATATCTTGAAAATACGACATTTCTTGATATTAATGTTTGACGGTTTGACAAACGTTCTCATTTATAAAAGTTGGACCCATCCTAATTCCGTGAAATAATGCATGGGTCTTTCCGAAATGATGTAATAACCACTCGGTTTGGCAATGTTATTCCATGCCTTGCAGGTTATAATTATTTTAATTTCGTTCACAAGATAGAGAAGGATGGATTTTTCTAAACGATAAGTAAAGTTTGACATTTTTATTATTGTTATTTTGAATTTTAAATAACTGATAAAAAGGACAACAAGGTGATTTTATATAAAAAAAAAGGTCAACCGGTCGTATCGTCATACACCGTAATGAACCAATAAATGAACCTCATTCACTCATTTCTAAAAAAAAAATTATTCTTCAAACAAAGGGAAGGGAATTCCTGTTTCATTCTGTGATAAGGAGATAAGGAGCCTTGCTTCATGAGAAAAAAACTTTGCATTTTACTTTCAAAACTTACGCCTTAGGTTAATCTTTTCTTATTATATATGATATATTTGGTACTTTTCTTTGTAAACAATTAGAACTGGTGATGGTTTTCATTATTCTAAAAAAGATCATGATTCGTCTTTCCGGATAATCTCGTTTAATGATCACTTTGTTGGTATTATGTTGGTACTTTATAGTTTCTCACGTTTTTGTTGGAAAATTTATTATTGGCTAGAGATGACTACGTTTCTATTGTTCATATTACGGGTAGATGTTTAGATGGTTAGTCCATTCTTTTATTCGTTTAGAATCTTTGATATGTGGTTAGAAAATAATTTCTAATTACGGTTAGGTAATTTTTTTCATTGTAGGATCACCATTTTAAGTCATATTGTTTCATGCATCCATTCAAAATAGGCTTTATTATTTATTATTATTTTTTATTTTATTTTTTTTTTTTAACCACCATTCAAGATAAGAGATATGCAAAATGATGTACAAGTGAAAGGGAGTTTACAAAGAACATATGCAAGATAGATTGATAAAAAAAAAAAAAAACAAGTTCTCACAAACTAGATTTCCTTTCATTCCTTTCCCTTTCAGTATATATTAGTTCTTTCTTTATTTTTTATTTTTTATTTTATATTACAATAAAATAAAATATGGAGATGATCAAGCTGACGTCCATGCAACATATCGTCATTACATATTTTTAAGAAAATTCTAAAATAAATTAGATTTAACCGGTAAAACTTCCGGCTTGTAATTTGCAGGTTGTAAATTTATATTTACTACCAAGAAAAAAGAAATTGACATATACAAGATAAGGTCGGAATCTAGTTATGTCGCAAAGGAAAAAGTCTCAACTAATAGTATTAGGAAAGTATAAAGACCTTTTTTATCAATTTTGTTTTAACATAAACTTTATGAAAGTCGGCTTCATGTTGTATAATGAATTTTGTCTACCATGTTAAAATTCGTTCTAGATTGTAAATTTAAAGATTCGCTATACGAGAGCGACTGCGTAGTAAAACTTAATTATGTAATTTTAAAAAAAGTTATAAACGAAATTTTATGTTTATTGCGTTTACCAAACGGATTCTCATTATTGATGAAGAACAAGTAAGCTGCAAAGTAATATGATATATTATACAAGTTTCGATATAATATACAAAATTATAAATAGTAGAGAAATCGACACGTGACTCATTAAACCGGATGCAGATCATTATCCTATTAATAGTTAAAAGAGCCAAATATTTTTCTTTCGTGTTGTATAGAATTTTATAAGGTAATTTTAGTAATTTAGTCAATCAAATGTTTTTATATATGATTAATAATATTAAAACGAGTTTTTATTTTTTTTTACTTTCAAGGTATAATTTGAACACTTTAATCAAAGAAAATAAAAACTGAATATGTTTTAGTTGTTAGCAGATTTATGAATTTTTTGTAATGATACTTTTTTTTAATAAAATTTTATATAAAATCTAATTGATATAAATCAAATAACTATTATTTAATAAAAGATAAAATGTATAAAATGCAAAAAAATATATTAATAATAGTTTCTATTTTTTAATATTTAAAAGCCATAAAATATTTTTTAAGATTATATAAATATATATGTATTTTACAATAGAAAGGAAGAAAATTACCAAAAATTTATTTTTTATCTTATAAATTAATGACTTTTTAGTAAAATAAGTATAGGTTTAATATTAACTTAAAATTATTTTTTTTTTGAAATTTCTTTCTTTTTATTACAAGTGCCATCCAAAATATCAAAATCCAAAATCTCGAAAGGTCAAAATCTCAAAATCCAAAATCCCAAATTATACAAAATCTCAAAATCCAAAATCTCAAATGGTAAAAAATCCCAAATTTTCCTTTAAAAATTTTCCATATATAACTAAGTTTGATTTTGATTAAGGCATATGACATTACCAAAATAATTTTTTCATTATACAGAGGGTGATCACGGATATCCGAACGATTAATTAAACTATTTGAATATACTTATTATATTAACTTTTTTTTTAGAATAAGCAAAAAAT